TTGTTAAGTTTTTAGCTCTTTTAGTTTACTTACTTAAGATGACTGTGTGATACAGCAGTAACAAGTTTATTAAATCTTGGTTTATTGTTTTTAAATTTGTATTGTTTATTATATCCTGTCGATCGTAATTGTATCTATTATTCATGATTTGAGTTACAACAGTTATGTTAGTAAAGTTGAATGTAGAAGACAGGAAAACTTCTTTAAAAAAAATGCAGAAAAGCTGAAGCTGACGTGCGACCAATTTTCATTGCCTAATTTTATATCTAAACTGTTTGAGAATTTTTAGTAATTAGTATGTCCGGTGATACTTTGCAATCTAATGATATATCAGTTTGCTTTCAAAGAGAATCACTCAATTGATACATGCATATATATATTTGTTAATGCAAGTTACACACTAATAATATATTATGTCAACAATATGCCGAACAGAACGTGTTATGCCCCAAACAAGGAAACAGTCCGGTGCCCAATACACTTATCGTAGGTAAGAAAATAGACTATGTCGATTCCGTTCCTTACCTGGGTTATATTATTTCCAATGACCTGAAAGATGAGGATGACTTTATAATAGTCAAATCACAGGAATCTAAGTGACTGTGTAAAACAATGCAGCGTGTTCAAAACAGCTAAAAATCCAGAGTAAAATATGTCGACAGTAAAATCAATATTTTGCCTCAATTAATGTGAAATATGGAGTAATGTCACTTCGTGAGAGGGAGACTTTGTTGCAGTTTTACAGATCGGTCAATTTCGAATCCCTGACGTATGTTTTCTGACGCACTGGGCTACATCACTATGATTTAAGGCTTAGAAATAAGCATAATATAGATCACTTTGTATCAAACGTTTATAAAGTTCGATCCTTTCAGATCAGATATGAAAGGGATTTCAATGTTGATAGCTGGTCAAATGAATGGAAGAAGAACAAGATACATTTAATTGATGAATATAACCAGAACCCTGCGGGTGTGTACGTTTCTTTGTACGTAAACATAGTTTAGAGGGATTTGTGGTCCAGTAATGGTTTCTAATGTTTTTACGTATACCTACACCCCCATACAGGCCCTCCGACGGGGGGGGGGGTGTGGAGGGCGATATGCCCTGACAAGGGGTCACATTTCCCCGATGAAAGCTACAATTTAAGGGTTCCAAATTAGGCTCATTTAATCGATTTTAGAGTCTATTCATATGTAGAAAATACATATCATTTTTTTTTCTCCCCGACGAATTGTGCTTTTTCTCCCCGATGGGGGGGGGGGAAGCTCTCCCCGACGGGCGACCCTGCCCCTGCCCCCCCCCCCGCTGGGGCTACCTCTGTTCGAATGACACTTGGGCCTCATAATCTCTGTTCAACGTTTCCAGCTTGTGTATCACGGGGGGGGGGGTGTGGAGGGCGATATGCCCTGACAAGGGGTCACATTTCCCCGATGAAAGCTACAATTTAAGGGTTCCAAATTAGGCTCATTTAATCGATTTTAGAGTCTATTCATATGTAGAAAATACATATCATTTTTTTTTCTCCCCGACGAATTGTGCTTTTTCTCCCCGATGGGGGGGGGGGAAGCTCTCCCCGACGGGCGACCCTGCCCCTGCCCCCCCCCCCGCTGGGGCTACCTCTGTTCGAATGACACTTGGGCCTCATAATCTCTGTTCAACATTTCCAGCTTGTGTATCATTAAAGCACTTTCAGTTTTTGTTGTCATGCTTGCTCGAAGCTTGGTCTTGTTTTTTCAACACTAGAGAAACTCTCAGTCACTACTGCTATAAAATATTACCATAGTTCCCCGGGTAGAACCCCACCCCAACTTCGCGTACAATTTCCCCGGGTGTAAAGTCCCAGGGTCTGAGGATTGGGTAAGTCGGCCCCAGGTCCGAATATCAGATGCTGTATACATATATCCATTATTTTCCAAAACATCATAGACCACCCAAGGACCATCACATTATGTCCCACCCCAATGTCACTCCATCATATGCTGTATATGTGTCCAATTTTCCCCACCCCAGGTCCGAATATCAGATGCTGTACATCTATGACAATAGTTTTCCCAAATATAATGTGATAGGCGGTCAGTCCATCACATGCTGTAAATTTATGTCCATAATTTTAAGGTTCTCCCCCACCCGGGACTGTCCATCAGATGCTGTTTTTTCTGACCATTATTTTCCCAAACATCATTTGATGAAGCTCTCTACCCCCTCCCCCTCAACAACTAATGTTTTGTTGAAATCTCCCCCACCCACCCTCAGGTTCGTCCGCCGTATATCACATGCCTCCATCACTAATGTTTTGATGAAATCTCCCCCACCCATCCTCAAGTTCGTCCGTCCGTCCGTCTATCACATGCCTCCATCACATGCTGTATATGTGTATAGACGTCAGTCCATCACATGCTGTAAATTTATGTGTCCATAATGTTAAGGTTCTCCCCCAACCGGAACTGTCCATCAGATGCTGTATTTTCTAACCATTATTTTCCCAAACATCATTTGATGAAGCTATGCTGTAAATTTATGTCCATAATTTTAAGGTTCTCCCCCACCCGGGAATGTCCATCAGATGCTGTATTTTCTGACTTTTCTAGGCAGCTCGCGACTGAAACAAAATGTCGGGAAAGTTTGACCCGACGCATGCGCAAATCAAATTTTCGACTAAAAAACGACTTAAAACTGGTGGTAGGGGGTATATGTTTTATCGCCTACAGTTTACATTTTATATCTAACCGAAAAAACAAACATTTCTTGCACAATTGCATGTCCACCAGCAACTATCGAGCACAATGTATACCTGCCGCGATGCACCGTTTCGGAGCCTATTTGTTTACAAATATGCTGACCTCTTTTGGTTGCACATCTCATACACACATTTTACATGTGAACCATTACATTAGTTCCATGTGACCTAAAAATGCGTCTACATAGAATTATCCAAACGAATTCTAAGTTATTTAAGGAATGTGTTTCGTATTGCCAATGTAAAACTTCCCGGTTTTTAAATAATTGATCATGCATAGGCCTATATACATCATTAATAACATGTCAATATGTCATTTGAAGGTGTGATTTTTTTTTATCTCACTGACGTACAAAATATTAATTTATATAGGCCTATCCAATTCTGGCCAACATTTGATATAAACGTTTTAGAATATATCATTTTTTATCCCCCGACGAGTGTCTCCTAACTTCCCCTACCGGAGAGGTGGGGAAAAGAAAATATAAATTTTCTGTAATTTTAAAATCGATTTTAAGCTCATTATCTTGGGCTATGAAAATAAGCTCGATATTTAGTTGGTATACATAGATGCATTCAGCATTTACAAGGTTAAATTCTCCTAGAAATCTCCCAGTGGGGCTTTTTGCTCTATTCATTGCTGAGTTAAAATCGAGGCTCTGCAGGAAAACTAAGATTTTTAAAATAGTTGCATCTAGAGATATAGAGTGTTTGGAAATTTGTTAGTCGAATGTTGATAACATATTGATATTTGGGATCAGCAATGAATAAAACAATATATACATTGATTAATTTAATATATATATATATAATATATATATATATTTATATAAAGGCTTATATTGATGTTTATTTGTGTTACTGATTTTTTATATGATTGTATTGATGTATTTTTGTTAATAAATGTGGTGGTTTTAAATGTGGAGTGTTTGGAAGATTTGTTTTCGAATGTTGATAACATATTGATATTTGGGATCAGCAATGAATAAAACAATATATACATTGATTAATTTAATATATATATATATTAAGAGGCAAAATGAGAGATATACTTAAAAGTATGAGGTGGTCTGTGGTTTTGAGTTTAAAGACAGAACGTGTGAACATCGTGTAATTTACTTTGATACATTTTATAGCCAAATATGAAACTAATGAATAATATGTATACTGTATAATAGATTATGAAAAACGCATTAGGCCTATATCCATTTTTGAGATATTTTGGCTTAGGAGAATCTAATCTATCATGTGAATTGATCATATACCCCAACTAATGTATAGCAATATGAAATTAGTATGAGAGCTACGCATTATATTTATCCAGCAAAGTCACAAAAAAAAAAAAATTGAAGAGTGCATTATATCATGATTATATCTACAAAGCATTGAAAAGAAGGCAATTACGCACATTTTGAATTAGTTTCATATCTGGTAAAATGGCATAATACCAAGTTTGATTTTGGTCAGAATACAATTATTAAAAGAAGAACGTATTGTTGTTCTTCATTCCTTTTTTAATAAAAGTTGCAACATGACCATGACCAAGTTGTGGTTATAATATTAACTTTTGACTGTAATGTTATTAACTAAAACCATTCAACAAACGACAAAAAACATCAAATTTATGTAAATTTGCTTTGTTTGCTTATGTAAGTAATGCTTGTAATTTAGATATAACATCAATGCTAAATTTATATTTAAAATATATTTATTCTCTATGTTTAGAAGTTATTTTTTGTTTAATGAAGCAAAAAGGGTGTATTCGTCATAGTAAATTTAATAAAGTGATCATTTTATGTATAAACTCACTAATAATAATGTTTTTTGTTCTTTGTTGGTACAGATGGTTTTTTATTTACATTTTACAGTGTTCCATACTTATATATTTTAGATAAAATAATAAGTTAGTAAATCAGGTCAGACATATTTTGTAAATATTTTATGACTGCTATTGCAATTATGTTGGCAAATAATATAAAATAGCTTTGAAAACTTTCTTTTATTTGTTTTATTAACCTTTCATAAATTAAAACTGTTCGGTTTGCCGAAAACCCATTCTCCAGTAATAATGCACTGAAAAAAAAGGGGGGAAAGAGGAACATGATTAGGAAATGTGTGTTGATTTAAACAATTTAATCATTCAACAAATACATATTATGTAAACACAAACATTATTTTTATTATTTAGTTACAACACAAATAGGCCTAGGTGTAAATCTGATATTAATTATATAATCTGTCTCTTATACACATCTCCATTGCTCCATCCATTTATATATTTATTAAACGTATTTAAAAAAATCAAATCACATTTTACAAAACGAATATAATTTAATTAAATTATGTTTCAAACCGAGTAGATTCTGATTCAATATAGTTCAATCATCTTGGAGACACTTGTCCGTTACGAATCTGATATGACCAGTCCGATTTAACTTCAAAAACAGTTTGTATTCATCAGGCATATGATGTCTCTTTGTATAATTAAATATAACGTTCTCATAATAATGGTGAGGTACCGGCCTTCCGCTTGCTGTTTCGTGAAATGGGAAAAAACCATACATTGAAACTTTACGACAGACAGCGCCCGCTATAGTGTACAATACAAGACCACTTGAGACACTTGAAATGTTCCAGAAACTGCGAAAAAAAAGTTATACATGTGCATTATAATAATGTTCATTAATGTTTTAATTAACACACTTAACATAGGCCTACTATATTATAAACTAAAACAATGACATTAAAAAAAAAATAATACAGCAGTAATAATAACAATAATAGCAATTATAACGGTAAAGATAATAACGATTTCAACGGCAAAGCCGACAGCATCAGCGACTAAGACAGTGATGGCGACAGCCATAATAAAACAACATAATGGCAAAAATAAAAACAATCCTACAAGAAATAATAATAACAATACGATAATAATAATAATAATAATAATAATAATAATAATAATAATAATAATAATAGTAATAATAATAATAATAATAATAATAATAATAATAATAATAATAATAATAATAATAATAATAATAATAATAATAATATCACCATCGTCATTAGTATCGTCATCATTCCCTTCAAGATCTTTTTAGGTATCCGACTAGTTTGCCGAAACCAAGTTTGCAAAATCTCAGATTGCCGAGTCCAATTTTCCGAAACCCAGCTTGAGGAATGAAATTTTACCGGCTCCAAAACTATAAAAACCTAGTTTGCCGAATTTCGACCCACTGTACTAAAACAGTTCTTCGGAAATCCTATTCGCCATCGTGGGTAATTGGTCAGTTGTGGAAGGAATGCGCAAAGTTTGGGTTGTTTAAGATAAACCAAGGCAGAGCCAGACGGCAAAAGTATGTGGGATTTTAAGTACTTTAGTATAGACAAACTGCGCTCTTATACACACTAAATAAAGTATGTAAATCACTGACAAACGGAAGAACAAAAGAACAGTGACCATGGGACCATCTGGAAATAAATCCTGTGTTTATATTTAAAAGGGGTTACCCCAGATATTAACAGGGATTACTTGTATTCTAGTTTTAGTTTTGTTTATTTGTATTCTGTATACCTTGGAGGAATTAATTCCTCAATGTGTATACTGTATCCGGTTTTCGTGTTGTTGTTGAGTTGTTATTGAAATAAGTCAAATCAAACTAAATAACAATGCGATAAACAGGATAAACGCCAAGTGTGACAAATCAGAAGGCATTACTTAGAACTGAACGGTAGTAATAATAATAATAATAATAATAATAATAATAATAATAATAATAATAATAATAATAATAATAATAATAATTTGCGCGATTTGTATAGCGCCTCCCGTTAGACCAACCTCGAGGCGCTTCACAACAACGGAAGGAAACGAACAAGAGAATAAAAAAAAA